ATCGTGTTGTTAGACACTTCGATAAATTTAACAAAAATGTTTTTTTAATTACGTCTGAAATTGTGTTGAATCCACAATGTATACACACCGAATAATATCCTTCTTGAAACGGATCAATGGCTGTCACTTTGAGGATTTCAAGGCTTGTTACTACTACTACAACTGAAGTGAAGGAGAACGCAGGTGAGGGCAACCGAATTGTATTTAACGAAAATTACAGAGTTACTCAGTAAAATAGGAAAACCATATCGTAAATCATTAATTTGCAAATCTTCAATCCATCATCAATCCATTGTCTGAAATTTCACTGTTCATGCGTTTCATACAAATTCCATTGTATTCTAACTCTTCTTTTCTTGATCTTCCCCCATCTTCTGCTACCAGATATTACGTTTACACTTGCGTCATATACTACTTATAAGTAGCTCGCACCACAGTATTAGTAGTAGTAGGAGTGTGAGTAGTAAAAGTAGTAGTATGCGAACTTCTAATTTTACAAAACAGAAAGAACGCAGTCTCTCTCAATCTGCATACGGTTATATTGAGAAGAGAGAGAGTAGGGATAAACGAGCGAGAGTTAGTGTGCCTGACTGATACAGAGGCGGCAGTTTCGTTAATAGACAAAGAGCGGTGTAGAAGTATCAGGCCGAGTGCATTAGTTGTTAACACCATCGGAAGCCACGTGTTAAAAATCCTGGCAGCGACACCAGTTGAGAAGACTAAGGCAGGCGTTGAAGATTGTATGGTGCAAATTTACACTCTTAGTCAATTAAAAACGAAAACATTACATTGAACACTCTATTTGCACACCATCTTTGAGTCGTGACTTCCAACGCTCCATCCTTCTTCCATTCCTGCTGTTGCTTCCTTTCCTTCCTGTTGGTACTCCATTTGCTTCTTGCTTTTGCTCCATTTGCTTTCCGTTTTCCTCTTCTGACCGTGAGACTTCTTCTTACACGTCCCTTCTTATACTACTTATATCGTTCGTATAATTAGCACACACCACACTACCACTACACCTATGTGCCCCCTGAATTTGAGTGTTTGTCGATAGCTGTTTTGAGTTGTAAATTTTCTTTGAATTTTTTTTTTCAATGTTAGAATATTAAATTTACAAGTAGTCAATAATTTTCATGATTTTAATCAGGATCTGATCTCGGCTAGATTATCACTGAAATCTGGGACAAATTTAATAGCATGCAACCGGGAATCGAACACATCACATTCAGGTCTTGTGATGAGCGCTAAAACTTTAGACCACCAATCTGATATTCCCTGGTTTGCAAAGCTCTTCAAAGCTTTAAATTCGAAGTGGTTGTATTAGTTAGTATTGAAAAAGTTTTTTATGGCAAGCTGTTACGCCTGCACATAAACACGTCATTTCGATATGCTTGAACTGTCACGAATTTACGTAGTCGGAAAAACGAGAGCGAGGATCGAGGATCCGGCGACACAACATGCTACTCAAATTCGATTATCTCAATCCCCATATTCACTGAAAATAAGAAAACTTGATATGAAGTAGAACCTGTATTTTACAAGCATCCAGAAAGTACGATGTCCGGGTCCAGAAGAGAATCAGGATCCCGGACTACGGATCCGGGACCGGGTCCGGGTTATAAAACGTTACAGATAATGCGTATTTATACATTTTGATCGAATAGGAAACAGTATAGAAGTCTGTGACATTGACAGTTAAGACGACCAATAGGAAGCAACACTGGAAGTGACATTGATAGTCAGGACAACCAATTAGAAACAGCATTGGAGTACGTGACACTGATATCTAGGACGACCATAAAATTAACCAGTAGTAATTAACCAATAGTAATTGACCAATAATTCTCTTAGGATATTGGATGAATATCCTAACACAAGCGCTCCGATTCCAATATAGACGAATAATTAATTAGGTGATGAAATAGATCTTCCTTTTTGTTAGGGACGTTGAATCCCCAGAACTCATTTGATAAAGGTACTAATTTTGAATTTTACGCTTTCGCACATAGACTGACCAGTTGACCTTGAGATTATATTTCCCACCCGGAAAATCCTTGACTGTAATTGGTTGATGAATTATGTTATTGTACGCTATATTTGTGGCTCTCCCAAAATGCATAAATAGATGCATAAATAGACTCGATTTCTGTGTTAGGAAACCTCATATTTTTCGGATGCTTGTAGTATACACTTTCCTCGTCTTATCAGGACTTCTTCCTCTACCTATCGGGGCATTGGGACGCTCAAATTAGAGTAGCCTATCGTGTCACTGGATCATTTGTCTTCACTCTTGTTCACCGACTAAGGTGAACTTGTAATAGTTTCAAGTATATCAGTTGATGAGCATAACACTTTCGATTTCCATATATCATGCTCAGGTGTATCCTGTTTGTTCAACTGCGGTTATCGAAATCGTAATACAGATTCAGTTGGATGAATTCATTTCATGCAATTATTCATGCAACCAGAAATGAGAATACTAAGTGGAAAGGCGAAGCGAAGTGAAGTGGAGCGGTGAAAATGAGTGAGCTAATTCAATTCGATGAGGCGTGTAATAAGCCAAGCAAGCAATGCACACATGCACTCTCAATAAGACAACCTTGGGTTTAGGCGTATCATAATAGACAAATTAGTAGTTCAGATAGAGAAGGTTCATTAGTCTATCCAGAAACTAGTACAAGTCATGTGTGCTCAACATATATTAGTACACACACTACAAGTTATTTTTTCAATTACACTTATGGAGATTAGTGTATATTGCACATTTAAATCATCAATCAAGCATTTTTAGATGACCATCATTAGAAACCTGGAAGCATTGGATGGCCGTTTTGTTTTGGTATCGTCTCATCAGTGTCAGTGCATATTCACGACTCCTGCACTTCGCAAGATTCGAACCTAGGATCTTCGGTTTTGCTCACGAATGCCTAACCTCTAGAACACTCAGCCGACATCTAATGGTTTTCATGTCTAACTCTGATTAATCTAAAGGATTTTGCGAGACCTCATCCATTTGTGTATGATAGTTACTGTCTACAACCGACAGGGTTGAACTACGCTGGTCGAGTTTTATCAGTAAAGTTATTCGTCAAATCATCAACATTCTGTATGACAGAGACATGTTTTTGCACTAGTTAATTACCAATTACTACAGTTTACATTCAATTCTCCATTTAGAGCCTTGGTGGTGTACGCTACTTATGTTCACATAAGTAGTATATGATATAAAACAGAAATCAAAAGTCTGACAGCAAAAGATCGAGAAGGAAAGAATGAGAACAGAAGGCGATTTGTAGGTAACGTAAAGTGAACTGAACTCTGAACAGTCTAAATGAAAGAACACTGAAATCTGAAAAAAATAGGGATTAGTTTGCAAATGATGATTTCACGGGAAAGTTTTGTACATATGCTTAACAACTTAGTAATATTCGCTTAAATATATATGTTGATTGCCTCACCTGAGTTCTCGATCACCACATTTGGTGTCGCTGCCAGGATGAAAATACCGTGGCCGAGGGAGTTCGAGGCCGCGGTGGAGCTAGCCGGATGGAAGCCGGAGAAGACGGTGGTTTTGGGTTTGCTACTCCGCAACCGAGCGAAGGCTGTGTATGACAGCCTGGATGGCAAGGTGAGGACATGGAAGGCTGTTACGGATCGGCTTGTCTCAGAGTTTGACAGCCCAGTGGATAGGCAGGAGGCACTTCAGGAGTTCAGGACGGTGAAGTTATCGGCGGATGGAGACCCACTGGTGCTGGCAGTCGAGTTGACCAAGCTGTTACATCGCGCGCTGCCGAGTTTGGATGAGGAATCTGAAGCTCAGCTGTTCATCGAGAGCGTTACGGACGCCATTTCCCAGCAGCTGAAATTGGTTAGCGCCGCACAACAAGTGCGTATAAATGTTGTGCTCCAGAACTCAGGTGAGGCCATCAACATACATATTTAAGCGAATATTACTAAGTTGTTTAGCATATGTACAAAACCTTTCCGTTAAATCATCATTTGCAAACTAATCCTTATTTGTTTCAAATTTCAGTGTTCTTTCATTTAGACTGTTCAGAGTTCAGTTCACTTTACGTTACCTACAAATCGCCTTCTGTTTTCATTCTTTCCTTCTCGATCTTTTGCTGTCAGACTTTTGATTTCCGTTTAATATCATATACTAATTATGTGAACATAAGTAGCCTACACCACACCTTTACTGCTGGTCCGAAAACCCAAATAAAGAAGGAGAGATTGGCATGGGGATAACGATCTCATATCGTCGTAGATAACCAACTTGTCTAAAAAAACGCTAACCGGAATAAATAATTCATACCACTGATCGAATTCTATCGGCTAAATTTAGAACAAACATCCAAGATTGTAAACTGTCGATGTCCATTTCATTGTGACTAGGAAAAACAGATAACGAACAGTATTTTCATTGAAATGTAGACTATTTTTTTGTTGATTACACAACGCAATATATAATAGAGAACATTTCTTAATGTTAAGTACATCATAGTTTTACAAATAATGAAATATATACTTTGATTTATTGTTCAAAAATATCATTTTTTTAAGTCGGTAACTATCAACAAACAAATATTTTACAAGAGAATCAATTTTTTTCAACTTTTTCGCTAATGATTTTTAAAATTAAGTAATATACTATATTATAAAAAAATACTAAACCACTGAAATTCAATAAAGATGTTACTTTAAAGTGTAAAGAACGAGATTCTAAAGAAAAAGACGGAAAATCTTTCAAATTAACAACAAAAGAACCCAATCGAATACAACTGAAATGAACTACCGATCGTTTATGCATTTTTCCGTTTTTAAAACAAAAAAAAATACAGTTGAAATATTTTGGTTTCAGTGAGATTCTCAAAATTTTTAATGAGAATCAAAATAAACATTTTTCCAAAAACAAAATTACTACTCTTTTAATAATAAGTAGTATAAATATATATATGTCATTTAATTACAGTAATCAATAAAATTCACCAGAATTACAATTATTTAGTGTTATGTGAAGAATCAGTGATAAATTTCATTTCTAATCTATCACCAGACGATACACAGGATAAACGTGGTGGTGTAATTTCAAAATTATTATTATTACTATTATTACGTAATGTTAATAATTCTTCCAATTGATTCATACTATTATCTGATGGTATAAAGTTTTCACCAAAATTATGAATATTATTAATATTATTACTATTACTGTTAGTATTATATTCATCAAATGAAAAATTTGAAGTTTTATAATTTATATGTGATAGATTTGCCGTATTCAATGGATGTGAAAATTCATCATTATCATTTTGCCTACTAATATCTTTGTTAGTAGTAGCTATTTTAGCAGTAGCTTCAATTAAATTATTGGGACTTCTGTTCGATGTTGAAAAATGTGGATTTTTCGTGTCCGCATCAAAATCATCTATACAATTGACAACATTCATATTACTTATTACATGATTGCCAAATTGATGTTTGGTTGGTTTACTGGTAGTTTTCTCTTTTAGTTCACTAGTTGGCAGCAATGGATTTGTCTCTTCTAGTGTTTGTGCATTTGATGTATGCACAGTTTCTTTAATGCTGGATGTGTTTGGTCGATTGATTGATGCTCGATATTGTGGTATAATTTCTTCAGGTAATATCGGGATTCCTTCACGTCTTGGAATTAATGGTCTGACAATAGTAGTAGTTTGGTTATTATTAGGTGAATTTTCTAAATGTCAGAAAAAATCAATAAAACCAATCATCATCCTAAAGCAAATGGGAACACCAATAGGAATTAGAAATAGAAACGGAAAACAAATGACAACTAACTTACTAACTAACTACTACTGTGATAGTTGTAGCGTTTTTTGTTTTTCCTTTTTTTATACACTGTTCAATGTTCAATGGAGGATAATGATGACAAGTTGTTTTATATTTTCTTTTACCTAACTATTTCCGTTTTTTTATAATATGCCACAGATGCCTATGTATCTATGTATATATTGATAATATAGCATTATGTATAATAGTAATAATACCTCTGAGTATGTGAATGTTTCCGTTTGGAATTTTGTTTTAACGGGGAAGAATTTGAGAAAAGCAGTAGTTTCAAATAAAATGAGAATGATATTATTATAATAAATAATTACTAATTCTGTTCTCTTGTTTTTTTTTATCAGGTTAGAATTAACTTATTAGATGAATCAATAATCAACGGAATGAGTTGATTTAAAACGGCTGAAATATTTATTTTTCTTGTTTTCTTGCAGTAAATGGAAAGAATTGACGGTATCAACTGGACAGTTAGGATGCAGCTGGATGATCTGCACTTCGCAGATGACTTGGCTCTTCTATCGCACACTCAACAACAAATGCAAGAGAAGACGACCAGTGTAGCAGCAGCCTCTGTAGCAGTAGGTCTCAACATACATAAAGGAAAAATCAAAATTCTCCGATGCAACACAACATGCAACAACCAAATCACTCTTGATGGAGATGCTTTCGATGACGTTAAAAACTTGACATATCTTGGCAACATCATCGACGAGAAAGGTGGATCCGATGCAGATGTGAGGGCACGGATTGGCAAAGCAAGGGCTGCATTTCTACAGTTGAAAAATATATGGAACTCCAAACAACTTTCAAACAAAACCAAAATCATGATTTTCAATACAAATGTCAAGACAGTTCTACTGTATGGAGCGGAAACATGGGGAACTACGAAAGGTATCATCCAGAAGATACAAGTATTTATGAACAGTTGTCTACGCAAAATACTTCGGATTTGTTGGCCAGACACCATCAGCAACAACTTACTGTGGGAGAGAACAAACCAGATTCGATTGGGGGAGGAAATGAGGAAGAAGCGATGAAAGTGGTTAGGACACACACTACGAAAAGCACCTAACTGCATCACGAGACAAGCCCTCACATGGAACTCTGAAGGCGAAAGGAAAATAGGAAGGCCCAGGAACACATTACGCCGAGAAATAGAGAAAGATATGAGAGAAATGAACAAACATTGGACAGAAGTGGAGAAGGAAGCCCAGGACAGAGTTGGTTGGAGAAAAATGGTGGGCGGCCTATACTCGATTTGGGGGTAACAGGCGTAAGTAAGTAAGTAAGTTTCTTGCAGTAAATTGTTTAATGTTATCTGTAGGATTCGGTGTGTATTTGAGTGAAATAGAAAAGAATTTTTTGGAATTATTAAAACATTTTGAATGGAGCAGATGATGAAAGAGTTGTCAAGGATATTTGTTGTTTGCTTGAGACTTGCGTGGATGACTCTAGTGAAGTACTACTATACAGTCGCTAACTATTTGTTGCTTCAGAAAGTTAGTTTTAGGTGAGTTTAGCTAGGGATTGTGTGAGACAAATTCGTCTGGTTTGGTTGGTTCAGGTGTCGCACTTAGTGCTAGAGTTGAAGCAACACTCTAATAGAATGGATCCCGTGAACAGTCGATTATAAGTCGTTAGGTTACGGAGCTCCATCAAAGTGGGAAGGAATCGATGTGAGAAACGATACCTTCTAGTTACGTTAGCATATGCTCCGACAGACTGTAGACCAGAGTCTAGAAAAGATGAGTTCTAAAATTAGCTAAGTAATCTTCTCCAGAGTGCTCTCGACAGGTATCATAGTACTAGCCGGAGATGTGAATGCGCAGGTCAGGGGTCTAGGAATACAGGAGAGTCGTCTAGGTGGCCAGTGGGTACTTGTTGTTAGCAGGTCGGATAAAGACGACTGGTACTACTGGTACTTTGCACAGACCACAACCTCTTTCTGGCTAGCGCTAACTATCGGCACGGTCATCGCAGATGTGCTTCCTGAAGTCCTCAAACCTGGACCCAGATTGATCACATAATAATTTCTGATGGTATTAGAATAGTTTGAAATAAATGGCTTGATTGTAAATTTTTCGTAGTCACTTTTGTTATTATCTGAAGAAATATTAGGAAAAGGTAAATATTAACTTAGAGAATGGTCTAGACTATAAGGTATAGATAAATATTCTTTTCTTCATAAGCTTGACCCATAAATTATTATAATAAGATTTACAGTTCTTATTTTGTTCACAGTTTATCACTAAACATCTACGCAGGATACTGTGGATTCCTCGGGCAGATACCATCAGCAACAACCTACGGTCGGACGGAACCAAGAAGATTTCAGGGTAGGAAGAAATCAAGAAGAAGTGGAAATCACTCAACTGCGTCAAAAGATAAGCCCTCAGCTGGAATCCACAAGGCTAACGGAAAAGAGGAAGGCCAAGGAATACATTATGCCGAGAAATGGAGACAGATATGAGAAGAATGAACAAAAATTAGACAGGGCTTGTATAAAACTCTTTTGCATTGCGCATCTACGACCTCCATAACCCTGAATCGAACCCGGGAGCTTCGGTCTTGCGTGTGAACGCTTAACCTCTGGATCACTGAGTCGGCACACAACAGTGTTAATGTCTAACTTTGACCAGCTTCACAAGGAAATTCTCAGAGTTCTAGTGAGAAGTCATCATCACTGAGGTTCAACCCTGTTGGTTGTAGACACTAACAACCTAAGACAATAGGTGAGGTTGAGCAAAGTTAAACATCAACATCGCTAGATGTCGGCTCAGCGGTCCAAAGGTCAAGCGTTTGCACGCATGACCGATGGTGCTGGGTTCGATTCAATGCCTTCAGTTTTACTAACGTCGGTCTAACAATGATCGATTCGTGATTTCAATCGAAAATCAATGATAAGCGAAAAAAACTAAAAATAATGACAAGAATAAAATGAACATCAGTTTACTGTACATGGTATCAACCATATCAAAATATTTTTAGTATTTTTTCAGATGACGTTTGAAAGATGATTATTTTTTTTAAGGAATATGATTTTCACATTATTAACCAGTATTTCCTATAGGATTTACTTACTTATTTACACCTGTTACCCCTAATGGAGCATCGGCCGCTGAACAGCATTCTCAAATCTACTCTGTCCTCGGCCTCCCTTTCCAGTTCTTTCCAATTTTTGTTCATTCTTCCCATATCTTTCTCTGTTTCTCAGAATAATGTGTTTCTTGGGCTTCTTCACTTCTGTTGGTCTTAATAATTCCAGGTGTGGGCTTGTTTTATGACGCAGTTGAGTGATTCTCTCAATGTATATCTCAACCACATACAGCGCTTCTTTTTGATTTACTCCTCCACTAGAATCTGGTTTGTTTACTCCCGTAGTTAGTTGTTACTGATGGCATCTAGCCAACGGATCGAAAGTATTTTACATAGAAAACCGTTAGTGAACTCCTGTATGTTCCAGAGGATAGCTCTCATAGTTCCCCAAGTTTTTTGCCCCGTACAGTAGGACTGTCTTAATATTTCTACTGAAAATCATGATTTCGGTGTTGATTAACAAGTAGTTGTTTTGAGTTTGCTGATTCAAGCCTTTACATCTGCATCAGATCCGCCGTGGTCATCAATTTTTCAGCCTAAATATTTTAAGGGTTTTTCATCGTCCAAAGCTTCATCGTCAAGTGTAGTGTTGTATCGAAGAATCTTGCTTACTCGTTTGTGTATGCTGAGACCTACTGCTGCTGCGTCTGTTACTACACAGATCGCCTTCTATTTCATTTATTGCTGCGTATTCAATAGAAGAGTCAGATCATCTGTGAAGTTAAGATCATCCAGCTGCATCCTAGTTGTCCATTGTACCTCTTGCATCCATCCAGATGTTAACGCCTTCATAATCCAGTCGATCACTAGGATATTATTGATTTTTATTTAGTAAATGTGGTTTTCTTATGTTTTTCCTAGTTACATTTGCTAAGGCGAAACACGTTTCTCTTACTCATTAGCGATTTCGGTTATACTTTCTACATCATCATTGTCATCATCATGATAAAATGACAACTTACCTGTTACACATTTTTGAAACCATGAATCGATCAATGTTAGACCACCATTAGAAACCTGGAAGCACTGGACGGCCGTTTCGTCCTGGTATGGGACTCCTCATGGTTTCAAAAATGTGTAACTTAACAATCTTCACAACAACCCCGTAATGCAAATTACCTGTGCTCACTAGTGACTAGCTTCGTGAGGAATCTTCTCCGAGTTCTAGTGGGAAGACGTGACCAGTGAAGTTCAACCTGTTCGGGTGTAGACAGTAACTAGCGAAGACTGTGTATGAGGTTGCGCAACTCCGTGAATTTGATCAAGTTAGACATTAACAGCGTTAGGTACTACCTCAGTGGTTCAACGGTTAGGGCGTTCGCGCGCAATAACGAAGGTCCTGGGTTCGAATCCTGCGGGGTGCAAGAGTCATGGTTGCGCACTGCTGAAGAGTCCCATACCAGGACGAAATGGCCGTCAAGTGCTTCCAGGTTTCTAATGTTGGTCTGACATTGATCGATTCATGGTTTCGAAAATGTGCAACTTAACAATCTTCACGCCCACGTAGTACAACTTACCTGTTAGTTTAGGAATTGTATCTGAAAAAAATGATTTTGTTTCATTCGTAAATGGTAATCTCATTGGTGAATCATTCATTGCATGAAAAGTACGCGCTGATCCAGGTGGAATAACACTGAAATTATTTTTTAATTTAGCCGATGTATTGAATTGTGTCGTTTGACTACAAATTTTTGGTCGAACTGCTTCCACTGGCAAAATACGTCTTCTACGTTTTGGCAATTTTGATTGAGCTTGAGTATGTGTATAGAAACGTGAAAAATTTGAGACAATCACAGGAACTGGAAGTGAAATAGTCATGACACCAGTAATTGCACACATCGCACCAACTATCATACCTATGAGAATAGAAAAAAAATAAAAACGCGAAAATTAGTTAGTTGACAGAGGTTTGAATAAGGTTATGAAGATGTTTTAATGAATTCTCAAAGACTAATGGAGTTACTTGTGTACACTATGGAGTTGTTTCAAAGTAAAGCGTACCAGCTGCCCCTGGGAGTGTATGATTTCTAATGCTCCTGAAGTTGATATTATGCTGTGAATAATACTGACATGAATGTTTTGTTAATCAATCAGTCATTAAATAAATAGCAACGTAGAACTACGTACGTACGTAAGTGCATCAGTTCATGTTGCCATACCACATTAGCACAAAGATCTAATTGTCAATTCAAATCCAATAGTAGTAGAGGTAGTAAAGGTATTAGAAGTAATCGGAGAGGTTAGCATTATAAGATATTATTCAAGAAGTAGAATCTAATAAAATAGACTTAAAAAGATAAGGATTAACTGATGAAGAATTGAAAATTTTGGGATTTGAGAGAACACAAAGAATAAATGCACCGGTGCCATTGCGAACGATTTTGAGCCATGTCAATCAAGGACTCTAACCACCGATGACCATCATCTCACGGACCACAACCAGCTAGTCGACACCTACTGACATGACTCAGTCCCCTTGTCAGTGACTTCATGGATTTCGGCCTTGTTTTGGTCTGGCCGCCCCTAGATTTCTTCCAAACTACTCCTAAACCGCAAAATATAGCTCGACGAGGCAGTCGGTGGTTAGGCATACGCGACTTTGTTGATAAATATTCATTTTTCGGTCAGGCTAAGACTTAAGCCGTTGAACCAGGGTTCAGTGGATAGCTAATTCTTTTCAGTTTGGGTCTCTTCAGAAGAGACTGAGTACTGTCCTGCTATGAATCAGCAGTAAGAGCTTTGAAGCTTTACGTTAGTTCCTAATTCTAGGACTAAAATCTGTCCAGTACTTTCTGGTTTTCAAGAATAATACAATAAATATCAGTCTTTGATTGCGAGAGAAACATAATGGAAAATTACAGTTAATCTTAACAGATAAAAAAGCTATAATTTCTGAATAATAGTTGTTAGGAAATTTTGAGTTTTAGTTACAGACGGAAAGCAAGATCATGGCGTCTCTTCGACATATCGATGTATCACGTAACCCAGCAGTTAGTAAAACTAGACAACTAATCTAAAACTTATGTAAACTTTTTGTAACGTCTAGAATGATCACATGATTCATATTATCTGTTTCAGAATTTCATTTAATTACTGTCTCAGCTCCTGATTATGTTTTTATTTAGACTTCTTCTTTCAATGACGTATATATGTCTATGTAAAAAAACCACTAGTGACCGTAGCTGCTACCTTGACATGGAGGTCAGGTTTGCTTATCGTGATGACCCAACCGAGTTATATTGGCTAGAACATATGTTCCTTTAGGTCCGACCATACCAAGCAGGCCGATTGGAGAACGGTAAGACTAAAAGCACCAGCTGAAGGTTTGAGGCCAAAGTTGCACTGCTGAGTGCAGAGCGGTGTAACGGCAGTAAGGTGTTTCGCTCGGACAACCCGCTTCCGCAGCGATGGTTCCTTGTCACAAGGAAGGAAGGGTTAAAAAAGGTCGACCCTAGAAATGTCATACCTCATCTTACCTCAAGGATTTCCGTCTCCGGTGTTAAGTGTGCCCACTAAGGGCTTTCAAGAGCGGAGCTAACACTCAAAAAACTTCTCATAAAAAGGCGGTGCGTGACCGGCCTCAAGCAGTTGTTCCTTGGGCTCTGCGATCACGCACCCAGGTCTCCAAGACCAACACTAATCTATCTTCATTTTCAGGTCCCTCAAGAAACACTCTACCACGGTGTGGGCAACAGGGAAGTGACAACCGCCCTCATACCCATAACAGCATACGAGACCAAATTGGTCGAAATCAAATTATTTATTGTACCTTATCACGTAATGTAAATATTTTATTTATCAACTTCACCTAATCCCAACAATAACAATAGTCGATCTAACTATCATCTAGTTATATTTTGTCCTTGTGACTTAATTGAGAGATAAGCGCAAAATCAACAGAAATACGTATACGTATATTTATGTATACATCTCTCTACATCACTGAATCAATCTTATTTTATCCCAAAATGCTGATCTTGATAGAGATTGACATATGTTTCCAATTAAAACGACACATAAATATGTATATATTTAGTGTTTATTATATACTTGACCTAAAATTGAAAATCAGTTGATTTAAACAGATATATCAAAACACTGCTGTGTTAAGTGATCTGTTTGTTTGTGGTTTTTACTATTTTGTCAACAAAATAAACACGATGCAAAGGGAGAGGAAGAGAGAGTGAAGGAAGTCAGGAAAACAAAGTGGTTTTTTTTCATTGGGAATTCAAACCAAATATGCATCAAACAAAGGAATTCTTTTGTTTATTCTACTAATAAGTTGATAGTTTTTTCTGTTGACAAAAAAACCAACATCATTTCATTAAGATGATGAATCGATTATTGGTAGACCAGCCTTGAAAAATGACCATTTCGTCCCTAGTATTGGAATCATCAGTTGTGCGCATTCACGAGTCCTTTTGGCGGGCATCAAACGCAGGAACTTCAGTCTCGTGCATGCAAACGCTTAACCTAAAGACTACTGATTAAGGATTGGTATTAAAAGTGCTCACGTGCAAGGTTGAAGGTTCTGGGTTTGATTCCCACCACTGTATCCCGTGCTTCCTCCCTGGGTGTGGATGTTCTCATAATCCAACTAATCACCACTGATAAAGAGAATGGATAAGAGCAAGTAGCCTTGCCTTACTCTTGTTTTCAATTGGAATGGAGTCTCCTTGAGCTGTTCTCCATGTACAATTTCGCAGTTTAAACCATCATAAGAGTATGCTGAAAACTTGAAGGTCGCACTATGGGACTGATTAGAAGTGAGCATTCACAAACCAACACACTGTCATCAAACTTCAGAACCTTCAGTTTGGCAAACGTGAGTGCTTAACCTGTTGACAGCTGACTCTGCATCCATCAGTGTTAATGTTTAATCTCAGTCAATCCACAATATTGTGCAACTATCATCCTTTGTCTTCGGTAAATAACATTGATGGTTTAACATTGATTAGTTCATGATTTTAATGTTAGTGTCGTCTAATTCACATAAATTCACCTGAATCCCTTCTGGGGTTATTGCCAGTGAAAAACCAAGATAAAGGAGAAATTTGGTTAGGATATACACCTGAACTATGTCTGTCACAAGACAAGTTCTCACTTGGAATCCTCAACGTCAAAGGAAAAGAGTGCGAAGGAACACATGACAGTGAGAATCGGAGACAGACATGAAAAGAATGACCAGTAATCAGGTAGAGCTGGAATAAAAGCTTCAGTGAAGAATTGGTTTGCGAATGCCGATTTACAGACTATGCTACATCTATCTATGTAAACATACATTTTTTCCGGGGAGCGATAATTCGTGACCAGTTCTATTTTGCATTACGGGGTTGTGAAGATTGTTAAGTTACACATTTTTGAAACCAGGTTTCTAATGATGGTCTAACATTGATCGGTTCATGGTTTCAAAAATGTGTAACTTAACAATCTTCACAACCCTGTAATGCAAATTACCTGTACTCACTAGTGACTAGCTTCGTGAGGAATCTTCTCCGAGTTCTAGTGGGAAGACGTGACCAGTGTAGTTCAACCTGTTCGGGTGTAGACAGTAACTACCGAAGACTGTGTATGAGGTTGCGCAACTCCGTGAATTGATCAAGTTAGACATTAACACCGGCTCAGTAGTGTATGGGTTAGGGCGTTCGCGCACAGTACCGAAGGTCCTGGGTTCGAATCCTGCCGGGTGCATGAGTCGTGGATGCGCACTGCAGAGGAGTCCCATACCAGGACGAAGCGGCCGTCCAGTGCTTCCAGGTTTCTAGTGGTGGTCTAACAGTTCTATTCTGTAAATTTTTCAAAAATGTCAAATCCTTTTCCTAATTTTTCTTGCCTTATTTAAATTTTTTATCTGTAAAGAAAGCTGTGAAAATCATTTTAAAAGGGGGAAAAATTAACTTGTCAGAAATCTATCCAACTTTATACACTACTCATCATTATGTACAGCTATGACAGATTTACATCACTGTGTATTTAGAAAACAAGAGGAAACCATCTTCATCAACAATAATAACACTAACAAGGACAGTGAACTCATTAAAAGATTTTAAACAAATTAAATGTTCAATAGTTGTACAATAATAATGTTAATAATAATTTGAGTTTTGTATTCAACATTCAATGAAGTGATTCTCATACTTCATACTTCTATTGAAATGATAAACAATGCCATATCATTGACAACATCATGATCAAAATCGTATTGGGCAAACAAAAAAAAATTCATTTCTAAAATTGTTGTCCATTTTGTTTTGTTTTATTTTTCAAACTAATCAGTAATGAATTGTTATGAATGAGAAAATAGTTGAGCAATTATTGACGAAAAAGTTAATAAAACTGTTAAAAAACAAACGAAATTCATTTCGATACACTTTTTAAAAAAAAAGAATTTAAATCCCGTTTTTAAGGTGTTCTTGTTTAAAACCGTTAAAAGTATCATTTTTTTACTGGCGTGGCCTTGAGTGAACCAATCAGAATCAAGATAACAAGTTTATACTCTGTCGAGCGTAATTTAAAGTGTTATAAATAAAAAGCTTTTAGTCTATAGAAATCGCGATTATGGGAACGAAAAGTGATAAGTCCGAAATTTGTCAAAGTTAACTGTTTTTAAGCAAAATTGTCTACTAAATCTCACAATTGACGGAGAAAATTTGGAGGATGTGCAAGATTTTTTTACACATTAGGACAGCATCATTGATGAGTAAGATGGATCTGATACAGATGGCAAGGCGAGGATCAGCGAAGTAAGGGCTGCATTTCTACAAATGAAGAAGATCTGGAACTCCAAACAACTAACTATCAATAAACATGGAAGTTACAATTTTCAATAAAAAAACATCAATACAGTTTTACAGTATGCGGCAGAAACTTGCAGAACCACGAAAACTATCATCCATAAGATATAGTTAATTATTAACAGTTGTTTACGCAAAATACTTCGGATCCGTTGACCAGACACCATCAGCAACAACCTACTAAGTGAGATAACATCATACGGAATTCTTATGATGGATTCAACTGCAAAATCGTACACGATGGACAGCTAACAGACTCTTTTGAGGTGAAGATCGGTGTCAGGCAAGGTTGCTTACTCTCACCCTTTCTCTTTCTCCTGGTCATCGACTGGATTATGAAGACGTCGACATTTGGGGGGAAGCACGGTATCAACTGGACAGTTAGGACGCAGCTGGACGATCTGGACTTCGCAGAAGATCTGGTTCTTCTATCGCACACACAACAACAAATGCAAGAGAAGACGACCAGTGTAGCAGCAGCCTCTGTAGCAGTAGGTCTCAACATACATAAAGGAAAAAGCAAAATTCTCCGATGCAACACAACATGCACCAACCAAATCACTCTTGATGGAGATGCCTTGGAAGACGTTAACACCTTTACATATCTTGGCAACATCATCTACGAGAAAGGTGGATCGGACGCAGATGTGAGGGCGCGGATTGGCAAATCAAGGTCTGCATTTCTACAGTTGAAAAATATATGGAACTCCAAACAACTTTCAACCAAAACCAAAATAAGTATCTTCAATACAAATGTGAAGACAGTTCTAATGTATGGAGCGGAAACATGGAGAACTACCAAAGCCATCATCCAGAAGATACAAGTGTTTATTAACAGTTGTCTACGCAAATTACTTCGTATTCGTTGGCCATACAACATCAGCAACAACGAACTGTTGGAGAGAAAAAACCAGATTTGAGTGGAGGAGGAGGAAATGAGGAAGAAGCGGTGTAAGTCGATAGGACACACACTACGAAAAGCACCGAACTGCGTCACGAGACAAGGCATCACATGGAACCCTCAAGGCAAAAGGAAAAGAGGAAGGCCAAAGAATACATTACGCCGAGAAATAGATAAAGATATGAGAGGAATGAACAAACATTGGACAGAACTGGAGAGAGAAGCCCAGGACAGAGTTGGTAGGAGAAAACTGGTGGGCGGCCAATGCTCGATTGTGGGTCACAGGCGTAAGTACGTAAGTAAGTACTAAGTGAGAGAACAAACTAGATTATAGCGAAAACGAAATCAGGAAGATGCACTAAAGGTGGATAGGACACACGTATTGAAGAAAACACAAGACAAGCCCTCTGTTGAGATCCTCATAGTCTAGGCAAAAGAGTAAGACCAAGGAACAGATTACGCTAAGAAATGGAGATAGACATGAAAAGAATGTACAATAATTAGGAAAGGAAGTTCGAGGACAGAGTTGGTTGGAGAATGGTAGTGGGTGGCTTGTTTTCCAGTAGAGGTAAGTAAACGCATGAAACTGTATGTTTTTTTCGTTGTCAGAAGCTTTAAAGGAAGTTAGATGATATCTTTCCTTTTTAACTCCTACTCTGAATCTCAACTATAAGTCTATCTGTTAAGTTTTTCAAACATCAGAATGACAAGGCATTGCATCATAGTGAATTATTAGTTCGTCGATGGAAAACCTAATGTGTTTTTTTATTGGATAACTAACTACGAAAGCCATCATTCAGAAGATACAGATATTTATGAACAGTTGTCTACGCAAATTACTTCGGATTCGTTGGCCAGACACTATCACCAACAACTTACTGTGGGAGAGAACAAACCAGATTACAGTGGAGGAGGAAATCAGGAAGAAGCGCTGGAAGTGGTGGATAGGACACACACTGCGAAAAGCACAAGACTAGCCCTCACATGGAACCATCAATACAAAAGGAAAAGAGGAAAGCCAAAGAACGCATTACTCTGAGAACTAGAGAAAGACATGAGAAGAATGAACAAGCTTTGGACCGAACTGGAGAGAGAAGCCCATGACAGAGTTGGTTGGAGAAAACTGGTGGGCGGCCTACGCTCCATTGTGGGTAACAGGCGTAAGTAAGTAAGTAAGAGTAGGGTCAGAAAAACAGCTTAAAGATTACCAGGGTAAATTCAAGATATAAAACAAAATTGTTTCTGTACACATTTGCGGGGGATTTGAATTTACAAATAGCCTAGGCTTCCACACACACCTCAACATTCATCCTTCAACATTTCTATACAATGTTTTGGAAGCTGTCTTCATGTCAAATCTTATGGCCCATTTCAATTATGTGTTTCACAATCGAGGAACATGGTAATTATTTTTATTTGGAAAATGTTTTTAGTGGATTTTTAACGATCTGTAATCAAAATAATTACTCAAAATACCTGATTTAATTGAATTTACTTTCATAAAAGTAGGTAGTCAGATCACCCTGAGGGGGTAATTAGTTGAAAATTAGCAACGATCCAATAAAAACTACTTCATCATGTGGTTTGAGATGCTTTGTTCTTCATGAAATTGTTTAATTTCATTATACATATGATTGAACAATTATATTGTTTCACAAAGTAAGTAAGTAAGTAAGTCATTTTTGAGTTATTGAAGCTTTTGTGTTTATGATGATTGGTTTCACAAAATCTACATGATCAATGTCATATAAATTTTATGATATACGAGTGTCCAAGATCTGAATATGATACGCGCTAGCTTCCCTACATCAAAATGACTGATTGAATGAGAGTGTAAGAGTAGAAAAGAAAGTCTATTTGCCTAAGGAATCATCTACATCGCTATAAACACTCCTTCTTGACCAATGAAATGAATTTATCCTTTATATGGGCAATGCTGTCGTTGGGAAACGAGTACTAGGTAAGGATGGCAGATGAAGTAGTCAAACTGTATTAGTTGAGGTGGTTGAGATATGTGTTGTGAATGCTTAACTACCGACTGCTTCGACGAGCGACGTTTTATGGTGTAGGGGTAGGTTGGGAGAAAACCAAAACATGGCACTGATGTATGAAGTCACTGAAAAGTGGATTGAGTCATGTTGGTAGGTGTCGACTACCTGATTGAGGTCCACGAGACGAACGTAGCAGATGGTTAGATACCTTAACGACATGGGTTCGAACCCAAAACCTTTGATCTTGAGAGCGAATGCCTAACCTCTGGACAACCGGGCCGGCATGAATTAATATTCATGATTTCGATTTGAAAAAATCCACGATTTATAAAGGCAAACAATTTAGGAATTGGACTGTTAACTACAAGTTACAGTAAATAAAAATGGTTAGATTTCAAAATATCTCTTTATTGAATTGTCTTAAGAGAATTGTACATTCCCAAAGTCTTATAAACTATAAATTCAAATCCTTGTAAGTTTGCAATTCATGTATTATGCATAAGTTCTGTGAATTCTATTCATTTAAGCATTGATACCAAAATTCTTGAAAGATTCTTAGTTTTTAACGTGCTTATATAGATTTTAGTGACAGAGTTCAGGTGGAAGTATAGCTGAACACTTTAGTGACCTGCGATCTAATTACATTTTAGACGAATAATTGAATATATGCTGTGAAATAAATCTCCATTTTGATTTTCTTAAATCATGCAAATCAGGCAAAACCCGTTTATGAGATGGCGGTTATAAGTTTATTTCATGCGATCATTCCAGCAAACAGACACAAGAATACAAAGCGTGAAAGTAAAGCAAAGTGAAGTAAAGAGGGCGAGTTAGCCAACTCATTGTGATGACACATGCAAAAATTATTTACAGTCAGACAAGCTGGACCTCTCTGATTAGTGAAGTGAGCAACACCCATACACACACACATCCTAGCATTAAAACAGTCAAGATATACACATAGAAATCATGAATGAATCATTGCTAGACAAGCATTAGAAACCTGGAAGCATTGATAGACAGCCATTTCGTATTGCTTGGGATGGGACTCGTCAGTGACAGTGCGCATTCACGACTCCTACTGTAGTGAACGAGAACACAGGTGGGGCAACCGAATGGTATTTAACGAAAATTACAGAGTTACTCAGTAAAATCGGAAAACCATATCGTAAATCGTTAATTTGCAAAATATCAGTTCATCATATCGAACTGGACTGTTCCTGTTGCAAAACATCAATCCATTGTCACTATTCATGCGTTTGTTTCATACAAATTCCATTGTGTTCTAACACTTCATTTCTTGATCTTCCCCCATATTATGCTGCCAGACATTACGTTGACGCTCACGTCATATACTACTTATAAGTAGCTCACACCACACTACTACTTACAGTATCCGAACCCAAGACGTTTGGTCTTGTGCTCGCAAACGCCTTACCTCTGGTATTCATGATTTCTGTGTATAAAAACACTGATCTGCATGACTCTAATTGAAACATCAAGACCTTTTCAAGTCACTGTCAAGTTCAAATAACGAAAAGATTAATTAGTTTGTCCATAAGCTAGGACAAGCCCTGTAGGCCCAACATATTAGTGTATGCAGTACAACTTATAGTTGTTGACCAACACACTCAGAAAACAGTTATATCAGTCATGAATTCAAATCGCTGATTGAGCGCTAGATTGAATAGAGAAACATATTATACCCAGTAATAATAATCATAATGGTAGTAATTTTAATGTGCAAAGAACACCAATCTCCATAACTGTAATCGGAAAATAGTAAAATATGCTCACTATTGACTAGCTTCTTGAGGAAATTCTCAAAGTTCTAGTGAGAAGACCTGACCAGTGGAGTTCAACCCTGTCGAGTGTAGGCAGTAAGTACCATAAACAAACGGGTAAGACTGATCGATCAGAGTTAGGCGTTAACACCTCTGGATGACAGCCCAGTGGTCTAGAGGTTAGGTATTCATTCACCAGCTCATGATCGTAAGATCAAATCCTGCGGGGTTCAGCTGTCGCGGATGCACACTGATGACGAGTCCCGGGTTTCCAATAGTGATGTTCTAACTATGATCGACTAATGATTTCAATATGCAAAAACTATACGCAAACATTTCACTTACCTAAATACGTTTTCGGTACTTGATCACCATAACCAACTGTGGTCATTGTTACAATAGCCCACCATAAACCAACTGGGATCGATGCAAAATCATTTTGTGGATTATACTGAAAACGTTCAGCATAATACATCAATGCAGCAAATATAACAATAAATACCATTAGGAAAAATACCAACAAGACTAATTCTTTTAAACTTGCACGAAATGTATGTATCAAGATTTTCAATCCAGCTATATGACGTGTCAATTTGAATAAACGCATAATTCTTATAATTGAAAAGAATTCTAATGCTTCATAATTCACTTCGTTGGACATAATTTTCGTTAATATTAAATCAATATAAAATGATAATAACGCCAGCAGATCGATAATATTTACAGGTGACTTGATAAATTCCAATTTAGATGGGGTTACAATAAAACGTATTATAATTTCAAATGTAAACCATGCATTTGATATGCATTCAATATAACTAAAGATTGTATGTGATTTAATCATACGTTTACGTATAGTCCATGTGTGATCGTTCACGCTGGGGAAATCATGTGTAGACTCCTTCAGTAATGCTGATGTTGCTGATGACGATGGCGATGATGAACTGGAGGAGGAAGATAAAGGATATTGGGAATGTGAAATGATTGTTTTGTAATCCGGGGATAAATGTTGTAGTTTCATTGGTATTGAGTCATTATATAATAGAGGTATACGTAGATTGGATGATGTTTTCAGGCAAAAACATATAATTGATAGTACAATGAAGAAAACTGAGATCACAGCGATAATCTAAATAAGAAAGTAGAAATAGGCAAGTTAGTGATAAGTTAAGGTTTGTTTTATGAAAGTATGGAAGATAGTGTGATATGTACTACTTGTGAGTACTTACCTCGCTTATCATATATCAGTGGCTTATTTTTGTCTGACGATGATAAACACTTAGTCATGGTCTCATCGACAAGGAGTTGGCTTACTCAGCTTCCGTACTTCACTTGTTCCTTCGCCTCATATTCTACTGTCTGTCTGTTTAATTAGGATGATTTATTTCATTGCATAAACAACTGAGTTAGATCCTGGACTACTAACATATAAGTTAATTATCAGTGAAATAACTCCGTCTGGAGTTGTTCTAGGGTATTAAGGAGGATAGTTGTTCATGAGGTAAGGGACTGCATTACGTAAAAAACCAAATTTTTAAAAGAAAAACGCTAACCAGAACAAGCCACTCAAACCATTTAAACTCTGCTTTGGGAGCTGGAAGGTCTTTCTATTTTTAGGAAAGATATGACGCCTTATAATGATGAAAGCTGAGTTTCTTCTAAAGTCATGAGGCAACAATGAAACATCTGAGATGAAATAGCAGTCAGTATAAATTCGATCCTAAGAGGGTGACCATAAACCAGTTGACATCGACAACTTAGGTGTTGACAAAGTTAACAATGAAGAAGGATTAACTCTTATAAATAATGATATGGTCGTCTAGTGATATGCTTGAAACTATTACGAGTTCGCTTCACTCGGTAAACGAGAGCGAAGACAAATGATGCAGTGACATGATAGGCTATGCTGATTTGATTGTCCCTGGCCCTTCTAACTATAGCAAGAGGTTTTGATGAGGCGTCAAAAGTGTATTCCACAAGCACCGAGAATATATGAGGCTTTCAAACACACAAATCGAGTTTATTTATACATGATAGAAACGTCCTTTGAAGAGTCACAAAAATAGGGTACTAAAATAATATATCAACCAATAACAGTCAAGGAAATGTAATCTCAAGGTCATTTGAGAAGCCCATGAGCGAAAACACAAAATTCAAAATTAGGATCTTTACCAAGTGAGTTGTAGGGATCTGACATCCCCAACAATTAGTTATTACTTTATCAATTATCATTCACTATTCGATACCAGATCGATCGAGCCTAAAAGCTCTGGAGTTGAATACCAGACGTGGTTTAAATGTACACTATGTTGAGTAGTGTTAAATCAAGATGATCTCATAATCTTTGCATCAGTTATTATGAGTACTTATTCAAAAGCAACTTGGAATTTATATTTATTGTTTAGTAAAAAAAGTCACTGAGTAGAACAAGTTTCATCGATTTCTGTTGAGTACTATTTCATGATTGCTTTAGTAAGCAGCCAGTTAACAAGATTTACATTTGCATATTTTGTGTGCTTACTACTGACTAGTATCATGAGGAAATTCTTGCAGTTCTAAAGAGGAGCTTTCACCAATTAAGTTCAAATGTATCGAGCGCAGGCAGTTACCTACAGAAGACAATGCAAGAAGTTTCATAATACCTTGGATAATTATAACTTCGGATACCAGACAAGATGTCAACAGGTTACGTCTTCGTGCGCGAGACTGTAGGTCTTGCGTTTGATTTCCACCTCCGGGGGGTGATGCGTACTACTGATGAGTCCCATACTATGACGAAATCACCAAAACCAAAATCAGGATTGTCAATAAAAATGTCAAGACAATTCTACTGTATGGAGCAGAAACTTGGCGATCTACCAAAGCCGTCATCCAGAAGATACAAGTGTTTATTAACAGTTGTCTACCCGAAATACTTCGTACTCGTTGGCCAGACACCATCAGCAACAATTTACTGTGGGGAAGAACAAAACAGATTCCAGTGAAGGAGGAAATCAGGAAGAAGTGGTGGATGTGGATAGGACACACGCTACGAAAAGCACCGAACTGCGTCACAAGACAAGCCCTCACATGGAACTCTCAAGGTAAAAGGAAAAGAGGAAAGCCAAAGAACGCATTACTCTGAGAAATAGAGAAAGACATGAGAAGAATGAACAAGCATTGGACAGAACTGGAGAGGGAAGCCCAGGACAGAGTTTGTTGGAGAAAACTGGTGGGCGGCCTATGCTCCATCGATGGTAACAGGCGTAAGTAAGTAAGTAAGTAAGAAAATTGGTAACGGGTAACTTGACATTGGTTTTCAGAAGAACCAAGGAGATTGCCAACATGTTAACACTTCAAAGTAAACAGTTCGACTCAGCCCCGTGGTGCGATCGCTCAGATACGTAACACCCTTGTAGTGTAGATGGACGAAATCAACTGAACGTTAAATAAGATAAAATTTCATTATCTACACAAAGATGAATCTCTCTTGTAGAATTTCCAAAAAAGATCTTAGTTTAAATGGCTTTAACTGTCCACAAACAGTTTTATCTTATGCAAAAGATACCGGCGTTTGTAAACAGTTGTCTACGCAAGAAACTCCATATTCGGTGAACAAATACCATCATCAAGAACCTACCGTAACAAAGAACACACCAGATTTCAGCAGATAAACAAATTAGGAAAACACAGTGGGTCGGATGGAATAGAACGCACACTGCATAACTCATCCACCTGCATCATGAGGTGGACTCACACTTCGAATCCATAAAACCAAAGGAAAATAGGTAGACTAGTAGCACAAATGTGATGAGGAGTGAACTCAGTCGACAGCCTATACTACTACCCCACAATGGAGTAACCGGCGTAGGTGAGCAGTCATTTGTCAGTCAGCCAGTCAGTCAGATGAAGCGTAGAACTTCGTACGTTAGTACATTAGTTCATGTTGCCATACCACATCAGCACAGAGATATAATTGTCAATTCAAATCCAATAGTAGTAGAGGTAGTGAAGGTACTAGAAGTAATCGGAGAGGTTAGGATTAGAAGATATTAGTCAAGAAGTATGATCCAGTGAGAAGTTTAGAAAATCGAAACTAGTGGGGTTGAAGCATCCAGAAGATTAGGATTTGAGAGAACACAAAGAATGAATGCACCGGCGCCATTGCAAATGCTTTTGAGCCATGTCATTCAGGATCTCTAACCATCGATTATTATCATCTCGCAGAACGCAACCAGATAGCCTACATCTACCATTACTGAGTCCACTTGTCAGTGACCTCATGGATTTCTGCCATGTTTTAGTCTGACCGCCCCTAGCTTTCGTCCAAACTATTCCTACATCGCAAAATATAGCTCGTCTAGGCAGTCGGTTGGGTAGGCATACGCAGCACATGTCCCAACCACCTCAACTGATGAAGTTTCATTACTTCATCTATTGATCTGCCACCCTTACCTAGCACCCATTTCCTAATAATAGCGTTGCTCACTCGGGTGTCCCAGGATATACGAGCAATGCTTCTAAAAAAACGATGATCGAAAACCAATAACGGACGAATATCTTCTACTCTCACTGGCCATGTTTCACAGCCATAAAGTAAGACGAAGCGAACCACTGCACAGTACACTCGTCCTTTAGTCAGCAAACGGATATCTCGCCTACGCCATAAGTGACGCAGGTTAGCAAAAGCCAATCGCGCCTTCTGTATCCGAGCTGAGATTTCGTCACTCACCAGGCCATCATCACTGATGAGACTCCCAAGATAAGTGAAGCGGTCTACACGTTCGACTACTTCACTCCCTATCACTAGTTCAGGTGCCAATGCAACCCAACCATCTTGAAGCAACATTTTGCATTTCGAGGGTGAGAACCGCATCCGGAACATGCTTGCATTGTTGCTTAGGGTGGTCAGAAGACTCTGCATTTTGTCAGCGTCTTCACCAAGTATCACTATGTCATCGGCATATTCTAAGTCAATAAGCGAGCCACCTGTTAGAAGCTCTACTCCAGAAAATTCAGCCGACGAGGATAAGGTTATTTACTAGTTAGTTATTTGTACACAGAACTGTGCGTACTAAGTAAAAATACATGATAATAAAGGAATTGCATTCAATTGTAGTTTCTTCTCTACAAAAAACTAAATATTTTACATTTCATTTCACAAATTACATCATGCTTTTTATTTTACAAAGAAATAATTAAAAAGGAATAGACACATGTTTCAACAACAAAAAAATAATAGATACTCCAAATAGTTTGTACAAAAAAAGATTAACAACATCAGTTGAGTTCGTTATTTATTTTTTTTCCTAAAAAACTTGACTTCATTTATCATAAACTTACAAAATAATATGATAAACAACGGAAATTACAAAAAATATACTACTAATAATGTCATATTGATAATATATATATATTTCTATAAAAAAAAAGTTCAATTATTAGATTATTAGAAGAATATGTTGTGTAAGATTGTCCTAATTCAAGGCTAACTGATGATATACAAGTTGATTAATAAGTAGTATATGCAGTTGCACACAATCAATGTACAATGTTATGCTTTGTGAAAACAACAATCTAATATTGATTAGTAATGCGCAGAATGTTAAGCATATAGTTGGCTTTTCTATCTATCTAGACAGAAATAAATATTTCCGGTAAAAAGTTTTTTATATTGATAAATTTAGTTAAAAAATGACGACAGAATAAAATATTATGCATAGATTTTTTTTCATATGTAAAAGTATTAGGGAAGTTGTTACGGAAATGCATGAATCAATATGATTGTTAGACCATTATTAGAAAGTAGACAGATATTTCATTCTAGTATGGGACTCATCAGTGGTAGTAGGCATCCACAACTATGGCTATTCGAAGGATTCGAACCCAGGACCTTTAGTTTTGCACTGGTGATCACCTAACCTCTGGATCATTGAGAGGGTTGGTATCCAACGGTGTTCATGTCTAACTCTGATCACTCTAGGGGTTTCGTACAACCTCACCCTATAATATACTGATTAAAATGATATGTAGCAAGTTATGTTGCTTAATATTTGTTCTGATTAGCTTTGGTTTTCATAATTTTGTAGAAAATTGATACTTCAAGTGAGATTCCTATGTATAACATTATTTCTAGACTATTTAGGTCTG